CATCTTATGCCAATTAACAGTCCCTATCTTGTAAAACCCTGAGGGATTAGAATAAGATTTTAGTGTTATAAAAAATAACAGACTTAGCATAACGTCTTATGACAAGTAACAGTCCCTATCTTGTAAAACCCTGAGGGATTAGAATAAGATTTTGGTGTTATAAAAAATAACAGACTTAGCATAACGTCTTATGACAAGTAACAGTCCCTATCTTGTAAAACCCTGAGGGATTAGAATAAGATTTTAGTGTTATAAAAAATAACAGACGTCTTATGATAAGTATAATCAATTATAATCATGTTTCACCAGCTTCTAAAGGTGTACACATCATAACAATTATTTTTATAACAAATGGCTTATGTAAATATGTGTTCGTTGTAACCCAGCCGGCCTGAAGAGCTCTGACTTGAGCAAAACATGTCATAAGCAATAGATATAATGACTATAGCCTGGTGGAAATACTATTATTATACACTCTTTTAAATCTTGGAAAACCCTATGGGACTATAATAACATTTTAGTGCTAAGAGATAATAGGCTTAACATAACATTTTATGACAAGTATAACCAATTATAATCGGCTCTAAAAAGGCCTGCACATCATGATAAGAGTTAGATTATTTGAAGACATGTGAACAAGAAAGGCTTGTCACCTAATAATTTAAAGTTTAGAAATTTACAATGCATGTAAAGAAGAAGGAAAGCTTCATGGTAAACAGAGTACAAGCAAGAAAATATATCTAGCTTTCAGAGGATATATTTATGGTTTTGTTAAGTTTAGGATTTTGGAAATTGTAAAACAGAAAAATACAGTTAATGGAATTTTATTGTTCTGATAAAACAATATGATATTAGACCTAGAAATAATCAGACATATACAAAGACCACCACAGATTGAGGCTATATTTTGTCTATGCAGGCAGGAAGTTAAATATTTCTACTTTCCAGATAGGGGAGGTCAGACAGAATTTTAAAACTTGTGTTGTCATGTGTAATCATAGAAAACATAACATACCAAACTGGAAGGGGTTAAACTGGTGTACAAGTATATACAAGATTAGAATAATGTAAACTGTAATTACATATTTCAACAATGTATGTATGGTATACGTGGGCTATTTTGTTTTAGGATTTTATGCCTGAGAAGGACAATTAAAAAGTGTCCTAAAATAGGAGCACATTTTACACTTTTTAACCCATTCCAGACCGGTCACGGATGAAAGGCCATGTCATCCCGTTCATTGACTCTCATTCAAAATGTTATTGAACTACTATTTCATGAATTTATGTCAATAAGTTTGGTATCAAACTGTAGATTATAATTCAAATTTTAGTATTATACCTTACTCTATTTCTTAACTTAAAAGTAAATATTAAAAAAAGCACCGTTTAACATAGATGTCACGTGATATGTTGAATACAGCACTGGTTCAAATTAAATGTTTGTGATGTCAAAATACTATGTCTGTAGTTTTGTACAAATTAGGAACTCAAATTACCAATATTGACAAGCTAGAATATAAAATATGAGCCTCTTGTCTTTCCAGTTTGCTAAGATATTGCTCACATAATAAATCAAACACAGTGGCATCCTGCTCACCTCTTTCCATTTTTGGAAACACTCCCTTGTATACACTTACTTCTATATATGACATGAATAACCAATTAGAAGCTCAGAATGGCTTTCTCAGCCATTTTAACATGTTTAGGTGCCATTTCTTTCTTTCAAACCAAGATTTAAAGGAGGTAGGTTGTGTTATAAGGCTGCTCAAAATTTCATTTTTTTAGACTGAAATACAGCTTAGTTACTAAGCTTGATAAATTATAATGGAATTCTACAGTATTGA